AAGTACTCAGAGGAAACCTACCCCAGCACCATTTTGTCCACCACAAATCCCACTTGACCAGACCCGGGTTTGAATCCAGGCTGCCATGGTGGGAAGCCAGTGACTAACTGTTTGAGCTGTGGTGTGGCCTATCAGTTTACCTTAACTCTAGGACATATACTCATTCATTCATTCATGTTTATTCATCCTGTAGATCAGATTACATTGATATAGGACATGTCACATAATATAAAATATAAAATTAACAAAAAACAGTAGACTCTAAACCAGTAAACACACAAGATATGTAATGATTATTTACATCTAGCATGTATCATAATCTAATATATCATAGTTTATCCATACAATCATATATTTAATATTTACTATCCATAGATCGGACCACACTGGTGTAGAACATGCCACAAGTAATAAATTATAAAATTAGCAATGTGCAAGAATTCATAACTAATAAAATCACAAAATATGTAATGACTATCATATCTAGCATATATCAATATGCAGCATAACAGAATTTATCCAAACATTCATTCACTCAAATAAATTATAAAATTAGCAAGATGCAATAAGATCAAAACCAATAAACGCGCAAATATGCAATGAGTATTTACATCAAACATGTAACAATTCCAATAATTCAGAATTATCTATACATTAATTAATTCATATTTACCCATACCACAGATCAGACTACATTAAAGTAGGCCATATCTCATGAAACGAGTTATAAAACCAACAAAATTACAACAAATTATAAACCAACAAATTCACAAAATATGTAATGCAATATCACATGCAGCATATATAACTATCCAGCATTACAGAATTTATCATTCATATAGTCATCAATTGAGTAGTAGCATCTATTTATGAGCAAATTCTTAAGTTCCCTTATAAACTGGTTTTTATTGTCAAGCTGTTTAATACTATTGGGTAATTTATTATAAAAGATACAGCCAGCAACGGAAGGTTTGCTGTTATAAAGTTCTAAGTTATGCACCCATTTATGGTAGTCATTTTTGTTTCTAGTATTGTGAGTGTGTACTTGTTTATTTACCGTACAGTTACACTTATTAGTTGCATATAAAATGGTTTGAAATATGTACATTGAATATAATGTTAAAATCTTTAATATAGTTAACACCTTTGCTTCTGAAAGCAAATGGAAGACTATGAAACTATCTTTGCATTGTTTGGAATGTTATTTTTCTTCTGTAGCCGAAAAGCAGTGGGCTGCTACATTACTTGTCTTGTCTTCATTTTCTTCAAATGAAATAGAGTGAATATTTAAAGTTTCATGATTTTTNGGGGGGGGGGGGTATAATTGTGTACATTATAGGTACTAGATGAAATAATGTAATTTACTGGTGTCAGGTGTTTTCTTTCATTTTCTTTGCCCTTTCAGGTTGTCTGTGAAGCTTGGTCTGATGTTTGTAGAAGTTATATTCTGGTCACATTTAGACCAACAATTCCAACATTGTTGAATTAGAAAAACATTATTGGTTATCATGTGCTCAAGTGAAGTAACTTCAAAGATTACTGTCTGTCAGGGTCAGTCCAAAATCCAGAAAATCACATTTCATACCAATACCGTACCGATTTTTATGCTTTTGAAATGCAAGAAAAATAAACAGGATCTGGTGGGATATCATATGTAAAAATATATATGCACATCAGTTAGGTTAATGTCTATAGAACTGTTATGGTAGGTTGTGATGGTGATTGACAGGATTGTTTTTATGTTAAAAATTATCATATTCTTGTCACTATACCAGCAGTCTGTATTTTCATAGTGTATGCTTCTAAAATCCACAATCTAATTACTTCTATTTGGCATAAGGAAAAATTGCCTGATCAGTGGAAGGAGTCTATTATTGTACCAGTTCACGTGAATGGTGATAAAACTGACTGTAGTAATTATCGGGGGATATCACTGCTATCAACTTCATACAAAATTTTGTCCAATATTCTTCTTTCAAGGTTAAGTCCATATATATAGATGAAATTATTGGGGATCATCAGTGTGGGTTTCGACGTAACAGATAAACTACAGATCAGATCTTTTGCATTTGTCAGATACTGGAGAAAAAATGGGAGTACGATGAGACACTACATCAGCTATTCATAGACTTCAAGAAAGCCTATGATTCAGTTAGGAGGGAAGTATTGTACAATATTCTGATAAGAGTTTGGGATACCCATGAAACTAGTTAGGTTGATTAAAATGTGTTTAAACGAAACGTATAGTAAAGTCCGTGTAGGTAAACATTTCTCTCATAAATTTCCTATCCATGATGGTCTAAAACAAGGAGATGTTTTATCACCACTCCTTTTCAACTTTAATGTGCAATTAGAAAGGTCCAGGGAAGCCAGGTGGGACTGAAACTAAATGGGACACATCAGCTGTTGGTTTACACTGATGATGTGAATCTACTGGGTGATAATGTAGATACCATAAAGAAACACACAAGTATAATTAGAATGATCATGTCAAGGAGGATGAGGTGGGCAGGGCATGTAGCATGAATGGGGGAGATGAGGAATGCATATAGGATATTGGTGGGAAAGCCAGAAGGAAAGAGACCACTGGGAAGACCAAGGCATAGGTGGGTGGACAATATTAAAATGGGTCTTAGAGAGATAGGATTGGATTGGATTGATTGGATTGATCTGGCTCAGGATAGGGACCAGTGGAGGGCTCTTGTGAACATGGTAATGAACCTGCGGCTTCCATAAAATGCTGGGAAATTCTTGAGTAGCTGCCGAATTGGCGGCTCCTCAAGAAGGGCACAGCTCCATGAGTAAGTAAGTACGCTTGTAATACTTAGTTATCCTATAGTATATGATCACCCTCCTCCTCTTCTTTGTTTTCCTGTTCCAATCATTGGCCCTAATTGGCTTGTTATGGGTGCTGCAAAACAGAGAATTAAATGGAGAGCCTTCATGTGATCAAACTACTCATTGTGATTAGCGGTTATGACTACATTACGTTTCAGATTGGTAAAGTATGAAGTAAAGTCTCTATATTTAGGTCTGTCACAAATGTAACTGACTTTGGGTGTAGAATTACAGTAAAATTTTTGCACAAGTTTGATCTCTACGCAGGGTGGTTCTGGGTTGGCTGCTACCACTATGTCGCAGTGCAGTGTGGCAACGAGAAGCTAATAAAGACTGTTATATCACAATAATCCACCAATTAAGATTGGCATACCGACACTTGGCACAGCTCATGGTGAAAGAGGGACGCATTCCAGATGCTCAACTTATGTTCTTCTTCACCCACTATGAGCTAGGAGTGCTCCTACAAACAAGGGATCCTGTTCTTATAACTAAGTAAGTCCATCCTCTTGTAAACACATGAATGCTAGAATATTGCCTTTCAGTAGGACACGACTGTCTCATGGTGACTGTTGATTCAGTATGCATACTCGTCTCAGTGCACATCTTTAATGCTGTAAAATCTGTCAACTTCATATAGGGTCACATAATAATTTAATAACTAAAAATGAGGATATGAATATTCAGTACTTTTAATATCAAGGATTTAACCTCAGTCTTGTAGATTAAACAGACCCACATCAGCTTTTCCTTAAGATAATTTTAATATTATTCTCTCCTTTTTTTCTATCTTCCAACTGTTTATTTTCCATGAGATTCTCCCCAAATTAGTGTTTAGTTCATGTTTCTTCCACTGAACAGTTTTGTATAATACACTCTAGACTTATTTCTGGGATGTGTTTCAATCTCGGTCGTTCTAAAAGCTGTCCTGATTAGGTTATTCTTGGTGATTTTTCTGTCTCTCGAAGCAAATGCCAGAATAGCAGTTCCAGCACTGCCTCTTTTAACACATTGAAGACCGGTCACATGATATCATCCTTTTGGCTTTTAAATGTGGCAGACCGGTCGCATGACATCATGATTTTAGGACACGTTAGGTTGTAACACACTATACCTTGCCCTGGTGCCACCCAAGTTGCACGCAATGGCATAATAAAACTCTGGAATGTTTGCTTACTTGTCAGTAACTTGACCCCGCAGTTTTCTTAACCCACTATAAACGAAAATGCTTTGCTGCTCTTCGAGCTGTATGTATCAACCAGTAGTTACTGGTGGGGTATGGACAAGGACAAGTTCTTCTCCGATGAGCTAGCTGGCCTACCTTGTGAGACATGTAGTCATGATGATTCAGAGAGCGGCAGTGACAGGGGAGAACAAAGAATTGTGGCCACAGACAGTAAAAGTGACAGTAGCTCTGACGATAATGCGGGTAATAACATTGTGGGGACAGTAAAAAATCTAAAAAAGTCACAAAAATCTAAACCCTGATTCAAAATTGAAATACAAAGCATTTCTGATGAATGTGGCAAAGGCCTGGGCTACAGACCGGATGGTGGCGGCAAAACGAGAGTCAGACACAGATTTAGTGCCACTGGGCCCATCAACTCCCACCCCACACAGGCCCCATGTGGACCCCTCTGGGCGACTCTCGGGTGATATGCGGAAACATACCCTCGTGAAAATTGTGAAGAGTGAACATTCCAAGGGGAAGCATCCTTCTAGGCAATGCCGTGTTTCTGCAGTTCAATAAAAAAGGAGTATGACTGCCTACATTTGCACGTTCTGTGTAATGCAACTTCACAAAGGGGAATGTTTCCAGAAATATCACACCCTCAAGCACTTCTAGGAGCGTTGATAAGTGTTTTCCAAAAATTTTAGTTCATAAAATTAATTATGAGATTTTATATTAAATTTTTAAAGTGCATAAGTTAGGGTAGTAGGTTTAAAAATGCGGTCCCCAGGGTGATTTAAATATTTAAATCGCCGGTCCATAATGTGTTAAGATCCTTATCTGCTCACAGATCATGATTTTCTTCTCACCCAAGTTAATGTTATATGGCATGGAGCTGAAACAGCATCATTAAATGGTCTAAGAAAAGGCAACAGTTATGTTTCTCCCATCTGAGCTATATGTCCATTTTTTCAACCGTACTTGGCTGTAATAACAGGGCATTGGGGCTCCTCATGATGTGTCTAGCCTAAACGACTGCAGCCCTTGCTCTGGCCAGCTGCTTTATACTGGCACATTGGACTGATTATAGAACGCCTATTCTGTTATACATGCCTTCATTGTCATGAAAACTTGTTTTAATAAGTCACTGAATAGCAATGGGCACCCCTGTAACAGGCCCTCTGACTCCATCATTTAAACTTCTAGGGGTCATGTCTCATTAGTAACATTAGTGTCAGGAGAAGCGAATCAGGAATGATGTCCGTATGCCATGTCCTCTACTACAATAGATTTTGCTTACCACTTCAATTTTAAATGATTGTGATATATTCTATATCCAAAGTATGAGAGAGTTCCTCAAAGAGGCACAAAATAATGGTCACAATAATATGGTTGTATATTTTCCCTTATTGATGTATTTGTTGCAGGGCCTTGCACCGCAGGAGATACCAGCATGAGTGGAAACAACTTGCTTTTCCAGAGATAATTAGAGGATTGCCTGTTCCTGTGTCTGTAAGTGAGAGTGACAAATTATGTGTGAAAATTTCATTATGTTAAGCACAAAACAGAAATATTGTTGTGCGTGAATTTGGGTGATCACCATATATTCCTCTCCCTATAGACTGGGGGATCTCCCTCTTCTGCTTGCATCATGCCCAATCAACATCAGCCTCAGCTTAACAAGTATCAGTCAACTGACAAATATGTGGATATTTCAAAACCCACATTTAAAGATTTTTTTGGAAGTGTGGGTTTTAATATTAAAGTGAAGAAAATCTTGAATGGGGGTTATTTAGCACTTGAAATCATTGAAATTCAATGTTAAACCAGGGAAAACCTTAAATCAAAGAACATTAAATAGGCGTTACACTCTGTTCTGATAGGGCCTTCAGACCAAACACAATCTTCTCACTTTTAGCTGCTGCAGAATGAACACAATTATTCACATTTTCAAATTATTAAATACAGTCCAGCTATATATTTTGACACTATATATGCTCTAGACCAGAGAAGTTCATGGAGGTAGGCCTAGGCCCACTGGGGCTGTAGTAGTGCCAAGAAAAAAAAAAATATGCTCTATACATGTGGTAGCATAGTTGGTTGAGGTACTATGCTACAAGCTGGAAGATTGCGGGTTCGATTCCCAATGAGGTCATTGGATTTTTTCAATTACCTAATCCTTCCAGCCACACTATGGCCCTGGGGTTGGCTCGGCCTCTAACAGAAATGAGTACCAGGAATCTTCAGGGGAGTAGAAGGCAGCTGGCACTTTCTGTTTCATGCAACAATTTGTGTATAATGTATTATAACATTTACAAGAATAAAAGTTGTAATTTTGGATTCTGACTCTAAAAATAATGGTTAATATAATCATCGCTTAAACATTGTTTTTTTTTAAAGGATGTGTTTGTTCCAGAAGGAACCCTTGAAGGCCTCAGGAGGGTCTGGAACTGTAGGGGTTCGACTGCAGGGAACACCTGTGTGCTCTGGCACAGTAATGGGGCGAGCATGTGTAGTGAGAAGCCTGGAGCAAATTGGAGAGTTGACACATGGTGACATCCTCATAACACACAGCACTGATGTTGGCTGGAGCCCATATTTTCCCCTTCTTGAAGGAGTTGTCACTGAACTTGGTGGACTTATTTCACATGGTGAATATACCAGTTCTTTCAGTATCTTTATTTTCATGCTTATTTTTTGTTCAGATGCTTGGTGGTGGTGGTTCACCCCCTGGTTTATGCAAGACCTATTTTAACAATATCCTTCAGTCTGTGCTGAGGTCACCACACAGCTTGTTTACATGAGGTTTTCCAACTCAAAAACGCTGCTTGCTTTTCCCATCTTCCTCTAAATATAAAGTAAAATCAAAATATTGTGACATGTTGCGCTATGCAGGACACCCCTCCCCCTGCCAGCTGTGACGTAACACCATCGGAGCGCTATTGTTACTAGGGTAACAGGCAAGTCAACACTCCTTCTCCTACCCCGCCAGCGGTGACATGACCAAGGGATGACACGGTTGCTATGCAGCCGTAAACAACTCCCGACAGCATTGCTAGGCTATCGGCAAACACTGCGTCAGACAACAGCGGTGCCTATTATGTGGCTGTTTTCTGTGTTGTCCGGAACAGGGCTAAATAAGGAGCAGCGAAGCTATTCAATACGAGTTACAAGTTAGCCAGGCAGTCAACCAGCCAGTTGTAATCTAGCATTTGCAGTCTAGTATTTGTGATACTGCAGATAGCAGTAGCTGTGAGATTGTATGAGCAAGTGTGGAATAAAATTTGCTATATCCAATACGGCGTGAAGTTATTTGTCGTGTTATACACCCAACACGTGACAATATTCAGTTGAAATTTCTGATATTCAATTTTATTCAGTGCATCTACAAACTGTCATGAACAGCATTAAGGCAGTTTTACTTCTTGGTTATTTAATCTTTGTTACTTTTCTCACAGTCAGTATACAGAGAGGTTGACACAACAATTACAGAATTTTGAAACAATGATTTTGCTGGTTGGTGGTTGGTGTGTAATGATTTGTGTTGACATTCTGCCACTACACAGCTGCTATAATAATAAGAGCATCATTCATTTCTGTCTATTATAGTGCATTTGTACATGTGACCAATTAGCTGTGAGCATTGAGTGTGCTTGTTGTAAGATATGTATTTCTTGTTGAGAATTATATTAGAAAGAAAAATCCATGTTTCTAATTTATGTCAGGAATGGCACAATGCACAGCATTGGGATACTGAAAATTGACATGTTACTTACTAGATCCCATTGCACAACCAAAATATTTGTGTATGATGTGATGTAATTGCTAGAAGTATCATACACCCCATATTCTTTCATGATAAAGTTAATTCAGAAGACTATTTGAATAAAAATTTAGTTATCTTCATTATAGAATTAAATGCGGATGAAAAGAATTATGAGTATTTTCAGCAGAAAATTCACTGCAGACACACTGGATTGCTCTGAGGACTATGGCCGTCACATTTCCTGGATCTGAATATATGTGATTTTTATCTGCAGGAAAACTTAAAACAGAACATTTACAGAAGAATCCACATACTTTGGAACCCAATAGGTTAAAATGTGGAACATTATTGTAGAAATCACAAAGGGTGAACTTTCTTTTTTTATTGCTAGTGGGGTGGGACTAAGTCCCTTGTACTGCGGCCACTTCTGGCCTATTGTACCCGCCCCAGATGATAGGCGAGGGTGATTGTGGAGCAATTGGTGGAATGAAGATTGGCAGGGGAAGCCGAAGTACAGTGGAACCTCGGTTGACGAGCACCTCTCATAACAAGTAATTCGCATAACGAGCAAAACAAATTGTAAAAAAAATGACTCGCTTAACGAGCGATGTTTCGCATAACAAGTGACAAGAGGGGAAGTCCCGGATTGTGCACTTGCTACATCAGTCTGTGTTTAGCACTCGTTCCGCTAGCATCTTAGTGTCGCTTGTGATCACACATTTTTCCAAACTTGTGTTCAGACATATTATTTGTGATTTTTTTTTGTGCAAAGTTTAATAAGCCTTGCAAAAATGTCCCTGAAGAAAAAGCCGCAAAAAGACAGCCATAAGAGAATAAAAATAACCATAGAAATGAAACGTAAAATCATTGAAAAGCGAGAACGAGGTGTGAGCGTGGCTGATCTAGCATGCACATACAATCGGTCTACATCAACGATTTGCATGATTTGGAGTTGCATTGTGTTTCACAGCAAGAAGTTGTGGAGGAGAGTTTGTCAGAGGAGGAGGTGGAGGTAACAGCAAAGCAACAATCTTCTGGCACANTTTTTTTTTTTTTCTGCAAATAGAGTTCACATTCCAGGTTGGTTCACTCCGCACATAAGGAAAGATGAAGATGATTCACTCCTTAACAATGTATATATAATTTTCTTTGAATAAACATTATACATAAAATTTTTTTAGTATTCTTTTTGGCATGGAACGCATTATCATATTTTACATTAATTTATATGGGAAAAATTGTTTCGCTTAACGAGTGCTTCGCATTACGAGTAAGATTCTGGAATGAATTATGCTCGTTAAGCGACGTTCCACTGTACTCAGAGAAAACCTGCCCCAGTGCCACTTTGTCCACCACAAATCCCACTTGATCAGACCTGGGCAGTGGGAGGCCAGCGACCAACCACTTGAGCTATGGCGCAGCCTTAAAGGGTCAACTTAAAACATGTCTGACAGAATTTGTTACATTGGCATGAAATATGTGTTGTTGTTGGAGGACATCAGTTTTTATCAGCAGTTGTGGAATGAGGTAAATAAGGTGGTGCTACTGGTAACATTTATCAAGCATGGACTATACTCCCGATTATAAAGTGCTGTAGCACTTTCCCATCAGACAGAAGCTAACCTCTAGCCCGCCTATCTCTCTATGAACAGGCCGTAAACTGCAGGACGAACCTCTTTGTATAGTCCAGGTATATAGAATTTGTGATGGGTTAAGTGGGACTGAGGTAAATTCTTCAAGTACTTAAATGCTCCCATACCAAGCATTATTCGACCAAAATCCCATGTACACCATTCCTGAAGTGTATGACATGCTTGACCAACCAGCATGATATCATAGCCTTTGTCCTCAATTGGTGCTCCACTTCTGGCTTGGCAATTCACTAGATTCAGAGTAAGGGTGTGCTCTTATATTAATACAGGACACTATTTGTTCTATTATTCAGGTGCAGTAGTGGCCCGTGAGTATGGCCTTCCATGCATTGTAGGCTGTCAGGATGCTACAAGAATCTTCTCAACAGGTCCGTATGTACTGCAGCTTCATCCCATTTTGATGATGATTGTGTCAAAAGGATTATCAATCAATGTCATTGTGTCCTTATCCATTTGCCTGCATCTGTATCTCTATTTGTATCTGTTCTTTTGTGTGGGTGCCTCTGTATATCTGTGCTCCTGAGCATGTCTGTCTGTGTTTGATCATGTATCTGCAATCATGTTGCTTTCTGTTCATGCTCATGCCAATGCCAGGGTGTGTCTGATCTGTGTGCATTCCTATGTCCTTGTGTTTGTCCATTTGCGTCTAGCAGTATATCTCACTGTGTTGTTATTTCTGACTTTGTGTCTGGTGCTGAATATTTGTGCTTGTTTGTGTGTGTATGATCAATAGTATATGTGCCATTTTTCTGCCAGTGTGTTTGTACATCATGCATACATACCTATGTATATGTCCACATTCGATTAATTTTACATGTATCTCTCTCTTTCTGTGTGTGTCCGTCAGCATATGCTTATATCATATTGTGTGTTTTGATCCATGTGTATATGAGTATTTGTATCACTGTGTATGCATTCCTATCTGTCTGTGTCTAGTTGTGATTTTGACTGCTAAATTGTTGCTGGACCTCACCAGAAAATTGATTCTTGGTTCCAAGTCTCATGGGCCTCATGAACATATTCTATTGTGTGACAGATCAGACAACTCACCTCTAAGCCTCCCATTTCACTGTCGGGTCAGGTTGTCCATAGTGCATGTGATTGTCTCTGTCTGTTAGTGTTCATATGTGCATGTGTGTGTTTCTTTTGTATGTCTTCATGTTGTTGAGTGTCTGTGACCTTCTGTGTGTGTTTGCATGTGTGATGCCATGTGTATATGCCAGTGAGTGTGTCAGTGTACTGCGACCTTGTGTACGCACCTCTGTCCATGCATGTGCTTTCCATGTGTGGCTGTCAGATTCTCTGTAGCAGTGTTCAAGTTTGTTCATACAAGTGTGTGAGAGCCCATGCATATGTCTGCATCCGGTTATATGGGTCAGTTCCTGTTTCTGTGCCTGTGTCCGACTGTAAAAGCAGATGAGTAGTTTGTCGGGTTCCGACTGTGTTTGTGACTGTCTATATGCCTTCACGTACATGTCCAGGAGTGTCATTGTGTCTGTTGGTCTGCCGGTGTGAGAATGAGTCCATGTGAAGGTATCTGTCTCAGTGCCTCCTCCTGTGTAGGTAACTGCTTTTCTGCGTGTACTTGTGTATCTGTCAGCATGCATCTGCGCCCATGTGTGCAGCTGTCAATATGTGTGTCTGTGATGGTGTTTATATCACTGTATGTGGGTCCATTTATATGTCATTGTGTGCTTCTGTGTCGTGCCTGTGTGTCTGTGTATTCATGTCTGTATGTCTCTTTTTTTTCTATCGGCGTGCGTGTCTGCGATCTTGTGTGTGTGTGTGTATAAGTTTTTCTGTTTATGTGCGTGCCCAGTTGTACACCTGTGTTCTTGTGTGCCTGTGTCCCCATTTGCATCAGTGTTTCTGCCTCTGTGTCTGAGCATGTATCTGCATATGGGTTTGTGTTCATATCTCTCCATATCTCTGTTCATGTGTATGTCTATATGTCCATGTATGTCTCTTTGCCTGTGTGTGTATGTGCTTGTGTCCAGATGTGTCTGTCTGCATACTTGTATCCATCTGAGCATCTGTGTCCATGTACCTATGATCATGTTTTTCAGTGTGTCCACATGTGTTGATGCCTATGTGTGTCTGTGTTTATATCACGGGACAGTTTCAGACCCAAACGCACAGGCACCCACACAGAGTTATACACACCCACACCAACAGAAAACAGAGGCATGATACACACATAGAGGATCACGGATCCAGACAAAAACAGACACCCACATGAAGAAAATACATTTAGATACACACATGAATAAAGACAGACACACAGAGATGCATGTGCACATGCACACACCAATAGGCAAAAGTGGAAACAAAACACACAGACACGAACATGCAAGGCAGAAACAAAAGCACATGGACATGTGGCTAGAAAGACCAGAACCAGGCCTGCACAGGCAAGCATGAACATATACAAGGACAGACAGACTTGCAGTGGCACGAAGACACGGTGAGAGACATGATCACAGAAAAAAAAATGTATGGAAATATTCCCCCAATGATAAGACACCGATGCAGACTCAAACCGATACAGATAGAGACATATACATGTGGACATACACAGAGTCACAGGAATACACCAACAGACTCACACAGTACGATAGAAACAAACACACCACACATTGCAGACATACACGTGGACTCAAGGACAAGGAGACAGACACACATGGACTCAAGGAAAAGGGGACAGATACACATGAACACATTCAAATGGAACACCCCAGAGACCTATATATGTACACAGACATTACCTTTTATACATATTGCTTAATAAATACTGCACCTCACAAAAATTATTTTTGTAGGCTAAAGGATGATACATACACTATTTGTTTTAGGGGACACTGTTCTTCTTGTGGGGGCCATGGGAACTGTGGAGAGGATTAACAAGTATAAGGATCAGAAAGCAACTGCTTCGGACTGAAGTTACTTTAGTGTTGTTTCAACTTTTCTTCTTATAATACTGTCTTCTAGGATATGATGCCTTTTTAGCGTGGTATATCATTGATATATATTTACTCTTTTTACCTGAAAATGGAGGTAGTAGTTTCAGAGATACATGATGTCTCAATCTGCCCTGAAAATGGAACTCTCATGTTGATGTACATAGATTTGGAGGTATGCTACTGTTACCAGGTGATATTTTGTGGTGACTGTTGAGAAGTGATTTAATGTACAACATATTTTATTAGTACAAATATTGAACATTTACATGTAAATAATGTTAATATAAGTAATGTCATTCATGTTATGAACTTTGTTTTTGAAATGTGTTCAGACAATTTTAATCTTTTATATAAGGGTTTAATATATCCTGTGATATTACTGTCCATGTAGAGGACTACCATCATCTCAGGTGTGACATCATAAATGACAGAAGTTTGCTAATGCCTTGATCTTCAGGGTCAGATTGTAAGCATAGCAAGCAACAAGCAGAGGGTCTCTGAAATGTGATAGGAATATCTGCCTTTACCTCTCTCCAGTATTTTGCAGAACTCCTTCCACCAATCCAGACTATACAGTTCTTTATCTGCTGAAAGGTGAATTCATTGTGTCTTCGTGCATGAAGACCACGTGCTCTCCTACCTTATGTATAGTTCCAACAGGTTTTAATGGTGTTGACTATGAAGAAAGCAGTCTTCTGGGATGTGGCACCATGTAGATGTGGAGACATCCATCTTGAACATCCGGACAAGTCAGCTGTAGCTGAACACCACATTCAGCTTCAGAATACCTCCATCTTCGCCACCAAGACCAGATATATGGATCCCATCATTAGGGAAACCATTGAGATTGAACTCCATCCCAAAAATATGAATAGAGAGGGGGGGTTTTGTCTCAACAAGTTATGGAAGCCTTTCATCTGTTCCCTAAATCCCCCCCGGACATGACACCAGATCCACAAGGCTACACAGGCCATCACCGACTCATAGCAACCCCCCAGCTTAAGGGTTAATGCCCTCCCATTAACCTTGCCTTTCTCTCCCCCCCCGACACAATATCCCATATACCTGCTCTAACCTTGCTCCTGTCCCAGACCCTTCCCCTCTTCCTCTC